AGTGTCTGTTTTATGAGTGCCATATATATATATATATATATATATATATATATATATTGTATTATATGCAATAATTAGAGAAAAAGAGGCCACAAATTTGAATGAGTGCAAGAGGAAGAGTGTGTGAGAAAGTTGGAAGCAGAAAGGGAAGAGGGAAAATGGTGTACTTATATTATGATCTCAAAAAAATTAATTTTAGAAAAAGAAGATCATGAGGGTTGGAGAAATTAGTTAAGAGAGCTTACTGCTCTGTACCAAGAACCCATATAGAGGTTCACAACCACTTGCAACTCTAGTTCTAGGGGGCTTGACACTGTATTCTGGATTCAGAAGGTTCCTACATGCATGTAGGCACACACATAAATAAAGCAAGCAGGCACGCACATAAATAAAGAACTCTCTCTCCCTCTCTCTCTGTTTCTTTCTCTCTCTCTCTTATTACACACACACACACACACACACACACACACACACACACACAACTAAAACAAATATATTTTTAAAAGACTGAAGATATGGCTCAGTTAGTGGAATGCTTGCTTTGCATGCATGGAGCCCTGTATTCAATTTTCCACCACAAACTTTAAAAACTGAAACAAACAAACAGAAACGGAATGGCATGTTGATGGACACCTGTGATCCAGCACTTCGGAGGTAGAAACAAAACCATTAGTGAATACCAGACCAGGCAGTACTGTACAAAGAGGACATACTGGAACTTGGAAGGAAGGCTCTCTTTTCACCTTATTGTATGGAGTTCCACTAGTATAAATTAAAAGTGGATGTAAAATGGTTATATTATACAAGACACGAAATTTTGAAACATGTGACAAGGGACAGAAAAACAATTTAGTCATTACAAGAAAACCCTTACTTAAGATTCAGAGAGCTTCGAGTAACTTCTGTTTGTCCTGAACTGGTCCAGGACTCCATGAGGAAGGGGCATATGTTATTGTAACTGGTCACTTTGTTTCAGAAATACTTGTTCACACATTCTGGAGACTCAACTACTGTGACATTGCACATTCCCTCTCAAACCCCTTCACTAGCTTTCTTTTTGTCAGAGTCATCAGTGATTCCAGTAATGAAAGTCTTTCTGTAATTTCTGGAAATTTGTTTTTGAGACAGGGTTTCTCTGTAGCTTTGGAGCCTGCCCTGGAACTCTCTTTGTAGACCAGGCTGACCTGGAACTCACAGAGATCCCCCAGCCTGTGCCTCCTGAGTGCAAGAATTCTTTTATGAAAGTAATCTTCAGAAATGGGTCATTACCTCTACTTTCATCAGCAAAGTGATCAAAAGAGTGTGGGTTCTAGATAGAAGACATGCAGTCCTTCTACTTGGTGGAAACTGCCCTATGGAGGGGCTGCTGCTGTACAACCCAGGTCGGGATTCTATGGCTGAGGCCATCTTTTTTTTCATTATATTTTTATTTTGAAATTTATATGTTTTTCAGTTTCATGAATGTGTGTACTTTGCTCAAAATCTTCCCCTTTTTGAAAGAGGATTTCTATAAATAACTCAGGTTGGCTTGGGACTTACTATAGAGTGCAGGCTGACCTTGAACTATAAGCAATCCTCCTACCTCAGCTTCGGCATGCTGGGATTTCAGGCATGTGCCTTTCTTTGGTGGAAAGGGGAGTGTCATAAGGTACAGCCATCTCTCTTGAAACTCACTATGTAAGCTAAAGATGACCTTAAACTGAGCTCCCCTCTCCCCCTTCCTCTCATTCAGTGCCTCACTGTGTAGCCCCAGCTGCTCTAGAATTTGCTGTGTAGACCAGGCTGGCCTAGAACTCATGGAGATCTACGTGCCTCTGCCTCCTGAGTGCTGCCAGATATGATGGTACAGGCCTGTAATCCCAGCACCAGGATGTAGGAGTACCAGGAAATCACTGGCATTTTTGGCTCCACAGAAAGTTCAAGAAGATCCTAGGATTCCACCCAGAATTTTGTATTCACTAGTTAGGTATTCTGCACTTAAGCTATGCACATCCTCATTTCCTCATATGGAACTTAAGCTATTTTTTCATTACATTTTTATTTCTCTTTTGGGTGGGGTGTGTGTACGGAGGCACACATGTGGAGGTCAGAGGACAGCATGATGTGTTAGCTCTCTCTTCTGCCACATAGGATGTCTTTACTCATTGCATGGTCTTTCTGCCCCTCTTATGACTTTCAAAACCTGCCATATGTCAGAACCTGTCCTAGCTTCATTTCTGTTGCTGTGATAAAATAGCCTGACCCCCCCCAAAAAAAAACAAGGAGAGAAGGGGTTTATTTTAGGTTATAATTCCAGCTAGCTATATCATTTCCACAGTCAGAAATGAATGCAAATGTCCACCCTTAATAAAACAAGTCAAATGTAATTTCCTCCAGGAGTACTCCACCCTCAAACCCATAGCCTACAGAAACTCCCTGCTCTCTGGTACCATAATGCTTACACACCCAGAAACATGATTTAGGAAAATTAAATGAGACAAAAAGAAAGAGAACTATGCCATGGGGAGTTATGCCATGGGAAGCTCAGAAGATAAGAGGGAGAGCTCTTTTTACATAGATGGTAATAAGGACCAAAGCAAAAAAAAAAAAACACAAACAAACAAACAAACAAAAAAAACTTGAGAGAATAGTGCATGTCAGAGCCAGGGGAGTCCTGATGTCCTGACCTAAAGCTGCCTAGAAAGCACATTTTGGGCCCAAATTCTACATGGCTCAGCCCAGACAGAAGGGTGGGGCTGGCTTTCCTACCAGCCGTGTCTGGGAGTATGAGTCAACACAGGGTGTCAACTACAGTATTCAGTGGTTTGGGACAGAAGAATCAGTTTTCTTCTGAGATTGAGAACAGGTCTGGAACTCCCTTACTCATTTTGATAATCCCTCTGCTTGGCCCAGAGTTACCAGAGGTTAAAGCACACTAATCAGTTACAGCAGCATCTACCTGTAATGCCAACACTTGAAGTGCTGATGTAGAAAGATTGCCATGAGGATGAGATATAGCTATGAAAATGCAAAACATAAATCATTAAATGCCTGACCTTAGCCTAACACCTTCCAGTGGTATTCTGACACCTGCAGGCGAAAACCCAAACTCCTTAGCAGAGAAAATATGGCCAATCGCATCTCCTATATAGGTACTCACATCCTAAAGCCCCTGAGCTAAACTGACGAGATCCTGTTTTCTGATTTTGATAGTCCATTAGATGGTAACTGTGTTGTTCCCAGTGTCAGAATATCCTCCCATGTTTATTAGGGAAAAAAATTGCATTTCTTCCTAGATTCATCTCACCGAAGAAGTACTCCACAACTACAGGTGCCTCCACAGGCCTAATTCCATTCCCCTGCTTTGAGCTCCCATAGTTCTTTATTTTTCCTACACACAAAAAAAAATGTGTTTGTAGCCAGGTGGTGGTGGCACACGCCTTTAAGTCCAGCACTCAGGAAGCAGAGCCAGGTGGATCTCTGTGTGTTTGAGGCCAGCCTGGTCTACAGAGTGAATACCAGGACATCCAGGGCTACGCGAAAAGAAACCCTGTCTCCAAAAACAAAACAAAACAAAACAAAACAAAACAAACCCCAACATTACATGCACTTGTAGAAGTCAAACACAATGTCCTCCAGAAGAAAGTGTACATTTGTGGACTCAGAGATGTGACTGGGGAGTGACACACAGCTCTGGAAAGGAGCAAAGCACCAAGAGTGCTGAGTTGGAAACCCAGGTCCTGGCTTTGATAAACCTTGGGATCTTGCATCATTTACTCTACTTTTCAAGGTCTCCATCTATCTATCCATTTGACTTTATTGTTGTTATGGCCATGCTGATGATCTAATTCAGAGCTTTGCATATGCTAACACTGAACTATGATCACAGCCCCTTATCCACCTGTTGGATGGTACAATAGGACTGAAATGTATACATTGTTCCTTAGAGTTCTGACATTCGTTTTATCATTTATTTATTTATTTATTTTACATCCCAACCTCCATTTCCCCTCCTACCTCTCCTCCCATTCCCTTCCTCTTGCCTCTGCCCCATTGTTAGGAGTCCCACAAATAGACCAAGCTATGTAACTGTCACATACATGTAGAGGGTTTAGGTTGGTCCCATGCAGGCTCCCTGGTTGTTGGTTCAGACTCTGTGAGTTCCTATGAGCCAGGTTAGTTTTTTCTGTGTATTTTCCTGTGATATTCTTGAACCCTTGGCTCCTACAATCCTTCAGCAAGATTCCCTGAGCTCAGCCTAATGTTTACCTGTGGGTCTCTGCATCTGTTTCCATCAGTTACTGGGTGAAGGCTCTCTGATGAAAACTGAGGTAGTCACCAGTCTTCACAAGAGAGATCCTGTTCAGGCAATTGCCCACTATTGCTAGAAGTCTTATCTGGGGCCATCCTTGTAGATTCATGGAAGTTTCCTTTGCACCAGGTTTCTACATGATCCCCCCATCCACCCACCCACCTCCAACCCAATCTCCCAAGTTCCAATCCACATTGGACCCCAGTCTACCCAGGATATCTATTCCATTTCCCCTTCCCAGGGAGATCCATGCCTCCCCAATTGGGCCCTTGCTGTTATCTAGCCTCTCTGACACTGTAGATTGTAGAAAAATATAGAATGCTTCACAAATTTGCTTGTCATCCTTACACAAGGGCCATGCTAATAATCTTCTCTGTATTGTTTCCATATTAGCATATGTGCTGTGGAAGTTAGCACTAGAGTTCTGACATTCTAAAATTATTTATTCATTATTATATTAGCAGGGTGGGACCTAGGACATTGCACATGCTGGGCAGTGTTCTACTATTAAGCTACACTCTGAAAGCCCTGATATCATATGATTTTTTTAATGTTGGGGAAGAAGTAATTATACTTACAGATGAGAAGAAATACATAACTGTTTTAGTAAGGTTTTAATTGCTGTGATAAAATGTGATCAAAACAACTTGTGGAGGAAAGGGTTTATTTGGCTTACATGTCCTGATCACAGCCCATCATAGAGGGAAGCCAAGCCAAGGACTAAAAAAGGACAAGAACTGAGGCAGAACCATGGAGGAACACTGCTTACTGGCTTGTTCAGCCGGCTTTCTCACACAACTCAAGACCCCCCTCCCCCATGGAGCTAGCATTACCCACAGTAGGATGGGCCTCTCCACATCAATCATTAATACCCCACAGATCAGCCTACAGACAATATGATGGAGCCATTTTCTCAATTGAGGTTCTTTGCAGATAACTCTAGCTTGGGTCAAAATGACAAAAAACTAACCAGAACAATAATCAAGAACTAGCCTGCCACCCCGCAATAGATATTTCAGATGTAACTGGAAAACATCTTGTGACATTTTCAGCATAGTAAAAGGCCTATTATTTAAAATGTTCTACCCAGAAGTCTACTTAGTGTTTTACAGGTCACTAAGCCCCTTCACAAATAGTCCATTTTCTAGCAGACAGTGAAAGAGGCAGATAGAGCAACATTTAAAGGTTCACCTCATTTCACAGAATAGAAAACTGACAAAAAGAAAGTGGTTATTCTAACGAGTGCTTGGACAACTTAGAGTTTTGTTTTGTTTTAGGAGACATGGTCTTGTGATGTATCCTAGGCAGAACTTGAGCTCATGATACCCCCATCTCAAGATTCCTGAGTGCTGGGGTTACAGGTGTGTGGTACCATACCTGGTGTGTTTTAAGGTTCAGATGCTTGCATTCTGTGTTGGTTAAACAATCATTCAAATTTGCCTATTGCATAGGATTTGAAAGTCTGTTTTCTGTTTGTTTCTTTTGAGACATGGTCATATTAAAAAAAAACCCAGAGGCAGATACTGGCTTAAAGCTGAAGATTAGAGAAGCAAAACATCCAGAGAATTCTTATCTCTACCCATGCTTAGACCCAAGAGGCAATCCTGTCCTCAGACTGTATCTCCAGACTGCATCTTTCTCCAGCAAACCTCAGCCTGCACTGATCCCCTGTCTCCTCCCTTTTTATATTCCTCTCTAGCGCTGGGATTAAAGGTGTGGGATCCCAAGTGCTGAGATAACCTTTCTGTTTTTAGACTGGATCTATAACTCAGGGTGACCTTGAATTAACAGAGATCTGTCTGCCTCTGTCTCCTAAATTAAAGGTGTGCACCACCACTGCCTGTCCTCTGAGGCTAACTAGTCTGGCTAGCTTTGCCCTCTGATCTTCGGGCAAGCTTTGTTTGTTAGATCATAAACAAAACATTGCCATAGTCTTATGTATCCCGGGCTGTCCTCCAATTCACTTTGTAACCTATAGTGGAGGATGACCTGATCCTCTTGTCATCCACACACACCACTGCCCTGTATCACACACACACACACACACACACACACACACACACACGTGTGTAACACACACATTGTAATGGGCCTTGTAATTGCTAAGCAAACACAATCACACCAACACACACACACACAATTTTAAAAAATAAAGAAAAGATTGTGAGCACGGGAAGAGGGGGAGGAAGCTAAGAGAATGTGAAAGGAAGAAAAGGAGGGATGCAGAGGACATGAGGGAGCAGAAAGGTTGAGTCAGGGGAAGAATAGAAGATAGTAAGAATGCAGATACCATAATAGAGGGAGACACTTTAGGTTTAGAGAAATCAGGCACTAGGGAAATGTCTGGAGATCTACACAGGACACCAGCTAACAATCTAAGCAACAGAGGAGAGGCTGCGTTAAATGCCCTTCCCTGATAATGAGATTGATGACTGACTTATATGCCACCTGATAGCCCTCATCCAGCAGCTGGTGGAAGTAGAAGCCGACACCCACAACTAATCACTGAACTGAGCTGGAATACAGTTGCAGAGAAGAATGAGTGATTGGCAAAGGGGTCCAGACCAAGCTGGTGAAACCCACAGAAAGAGCTAACCTGAACATGGGGGAATTCTTGGTCCCCAGATTGATAGCTGAGATACCAGCGGGACTGATTCAGACCCCAGGAACATGGGTTTCAGTGAGGAAACCTCGGAAATCTACAGGACCTCCTGTAGTAGTTCAGTACTTATCCCTAGCATAGGTGTGGACCTTGGGAGCCCAATCCACACAGAGAGATACTCTCTGGGCCAAGACACACGGGGGTGGGCCTAGGCCCTATCCCAAAGGATATGATAGACTCTTATGACCCCCCCCATGGAAGGCCTCTCCCTCCCTGGGGAGCAGAAAGGATATGTGGTAGGTAGGGTGTAGATGAGGGGGGTTGGTAGGGGAGGAGAGGAGGGAGTGGGAACTGGGATTGACATGTAAAACAATCTTGTTTCTAATTCAAATTTTAAAAAGGAAAAAAATAAAGAAAAGAAAATGTGGTACATATACAGTGGAATTTTTAAATTTATTATTTGAGAATTTCATAGATGAGTACTGCATTTATATCATTTCCTCCCTCTTGCTTCTCCCTCCAATCCCTTCTGTGTCCCCTACCCCATATCCCTCAAATAATATGGCCTCTTACTCTTTATTATTGTTAATAATATGTATACTATTTATTTGCATATAAATTTATAAACACCAGATGCTCACTCAGTGTTGCTGATGTGTTTAGGGATGACCACTTGTCCCTGGAGAAGACTCCATCTCTCAGCAGATTGTTTGTAGTTCTTCATCTAGGGACCTTGTGAGATTTCCCCCATCTATGTTGGCATGCCAACTTGATGTTATCATTATTCAGATCTTGCTTAGGCAAGCATATTACTGAGAGTTTAAGGGCATAGCTTCCCTGACATTCCTAGGAGACAATATTTCCCAGCACACTTCCTGGTCCTCTGAGTCTTATAGTCTTCATGCCCACTCTGCTGGGGTGTTCTCTAGCTTAGGTGTAGAGGTTAGTTGCATATGTATCAGTTTGGTGCATAATCAGCTGCTCTCTGCATCTTGATGAGTGGTGGTTTTCTGTAATGGTCTTTGTCTGCTGCAAAAAAGAAGCTTCTCTGATGAGGGATGAAAGATACACTTCTCTGGAAGCAGCACTGGGTGACCTGCATTTCTGTAGCTGGGCTTGAGAATGTGGAGATAGTATGGGGTGGGTATGTATGTATGTATGTATGTATGTATGTATGTATGTATGTATATATGTATGTATGTATAAATCTTGAAATCTAATAAAGTCTAAGGAGAATCTGATTACATAAAACAATACTTTTATTAATTTTTTTATTAAAACCCCTCCTCTCTGAAGATCTCCTCTGCCCCTTGCTTTGCCCAGCCTCCTAGCATACAAAACTTCCTCTAGACACTTAGGAAAGGCACTTTGCAGAATGCAGAACTCCTCCCCCATCCCTTTTCCTGGCATCTTAAGGTGATCCCTTTCCCGTAATTATTGGCATTTTTGCAAAATAATTTTGGAAAGCATTCAAGATTCAAAGGACAAAGCAGCAATGAGAGTCCAGACTTTGCTTCAAAGGGATACAGCTCGCCTGGAATCCCACCCTCTAGGTCATCACTTACCTGTCTTCAGCCTAATAATGAAACCAATTTAGAATGACCCCAAAGGGAAGAAGAGTACAAGAGTCCCAAGTTCCTGCTAGAACCTAGACGTTTCTACAGGCTGGAGACGGTGGGAGAAGGGAATGGACATTGGGTCCAGGAAGTGGGGAAAGGCTTGTTTTGAAGGGCCAGGGATAGTAAGTCAGACTTACAGACTTACAGTGGCATTTGCTCTAACTCATTTAGGACCACAGAGCTTCATTTTTAGCCCTTCTAGCCTTGCCTTTCTTTAGGCAGGAGTACAAGTCCACAACATTGTCAAAGCTCAGCCTCAAAAATTAAATGGGAAGGGACCAATAAATCATCTAACTAAATTCCTGATTCTTTTTATGTGCCTCTAATGAAGAAATGCTCACTCTTCACCTCCAGCCAGACGTCTTACATAATTCCAGGTGGCTTGATTGTCTGCTCAGAGTCCTTCAATACAGGAACATAGAGGGTTTTTTTTTTTTTTTGTTTTTCTTTGGGGTTTGCAAGACAGGGTTTCTCTATGGCTGTCCTGACTGTCCTGGCCCTGGCTGTCCTGGAACTTACTCTATAGACTAGGCTTGCCTCTCCTTCCCAAGTGCTGCTGGTATTAAAGGTGTAGACCACCATGCCTGGCTGAGCATTTTTATTTAAATTCGAATAAATTTCCTAAGATTCCTATCCTCTGTGCTTCCAGCTCCTTTGGCTGTTTCCTGGTCTGATTTCCATTCCCACCCAGTCTACTTACTTTCCTCTGGATAGATTCCAATTTGTCATTTATCTGCATGCCTTTTAATAAGCTGCATCCTAAAGAAATCTGCCTAATGTAGAAATGCACTGCTATGTCTCTTCTAGAGATGATATTTATTTTTGACACTGCAAGATAACACATACACTCACGCGCACACACATGCACAAGAACACATGTCATAATCGTCTCTTTTAGAGGGAAGTGTTTGTGATAGGATCTTATTACTTAGCTTAGACTAGCCAAAAACTTTCAGTGATTTGCTTCAGTGTCCTGAGTGATGGCTGCCACGCCCAGCTACAATTTGTGCTCTAAGTAGTGGTCAATCAAGTGCTGTTACCATTCAACACTATTTGTTGGGTATCATTTGTTTGTGGTGAGGCTTAGTATACATCCCTAGCTGGCCTGGAATTTGCCAGGTTGATATTGAGTTTGAGGTAATTCTCATATCTCAGGCTCCTGAGTACTGGGATTAGAGATGTGTGCTGACTCAGCT